GATGATAATAATTTAATAAATAATAATAATAAAATATAAGAATAAAATAAATTAAATAAAAACGTTGACTAAGTTAAGAATGCTAAAGGAGTTAATAACGTTAATCGTTCATCAATCTTTGTGGCGCAGTAAGATCGACTTCACATGGTATCAATGGGAAACATATATTAAGCAAGACAAGCAAATTTCAAAAGGACATTAGAATGCAACATGTAATTTTTGTGAAGCTTTTTAATATAAAGACTTCCCTACTATTATGAAAAACTATTTAGGTAATTTGTGTGTAATAATTCTGGTTAAAATTTATGATTTATTTTTAGAATGACTAGCAGCAAAAACAGCTGAAACAACTTCAAAAAAATGAAAGCTTAATGATCAGTCAGCTCAGCTAACTTAGTCAAAACTTTCAGATTATATTAAAAGTACTAAATTAATGCTTAAATATAATAAAAAAATTGATTGTACATTAGTAAAAGCATTTATTATTTATGAGATTCCTTTTCATATTATTGAAAATCCTTTTTCATAGAATTGCTAAAAATATTATGACTAGCATATGATTCTCCATCAAAAGATATTCTTTTTGATCATTAGTTAGCATAAGAAACTACTTTTGTTAATTAGGCAATAATCAAAGAATTGAAAAATTCAGAAAATTTAACTTTAGGTATCTTAATTAATTAATTAATTATTTTTATTTTATTTTTATTTATTTATTTTTATTTTTATTTTTTTATAAAATTAAAATTAAAATTTTTTTATTTTATTAGCTTGTAATGGTTAAAATAATCCTTCTAATAAATCTATTTAAAATTTCATTATATATACTTCTGATTGTCATCAATACTTATAGAGCCTTTGAAACATATCTAGCAAAAAACATACATAAGAACTTTTAGCTGAAGAATTAAATCAAGTTTAAAAAAAAATTGATCCAGAAAAATTCTCAGCAGTTGTAACAGATGCTAGTATTAATGTGTAAGCTGCTCATCATATTATTACTAAAAAATATCCAAGTATCTTAAATATTAAATGTATTGCACACGCTATAAATCTTATCTCAAAAGATATTTGCAGAATTCTATTTGCAGATCGAATATTTAAATACTGTATTGTAATACTTTAATTACTTATTATAAAACAAGTTATCTTGCAAGTAAATAAATTTATAAAAATATTAAATTTTTTTTTGTTTATTCATTAAATAAAATAATTTAAAATAGGAGATTTACTTAAACTTTGGCTGAAAAAAATTTTATTGAAGAAAGAGGTTTTAATGATAGGTATGTACTCGTTAGTATACTATGTATAATTGTATATTTTCTATTATACAATATAAAATATCATTAGAATTAGTAAATTAAAAATTAAATATTAGATAAAAATATAAATTGAATTAATTTAATTTTTACTAATATATTTTATTATAGATTTGTAATAATAATTCAGATATTTTAAGTACTTTAATACAATCAATATTACGCAAAAGAGCATTTTTTGATGATTTACATGCTTTAGCATTTGTGCTTTTTCCAATCAAATTAGTTATATTTACTCTTAAATTACAAAATTATTTATTAGCAGATTGTTTTATTAGTTTGACGCATTTAGAAGCAGCAATTAAAAAATTGCCTAAAATGATCATTGTACTTTTTAACAATAGGCAATTACTATTTTTAATAAATAGTTTACTGAATTTGATGATAATGCTTATATTTTATGTTTTTATTTACATCCTAAATATAATGGTAAGAAAAATTTTATTATATTATAAAAATTTTTAATATTTTAATTTAAAATTATTATAATTAAAAAATATATTCTTAAATATGATATAGGCAAGAGAAACATTTTGACACATTATTCTTACAGCAGATAAATATTATAAAAGTATGGGTAAAACAGCAAAAGAAAGAAGTATATTAATAGTTCAAATGAGAAGTTATCAATATTGTAAAGCACCCTTTAACATACTTTTTGATAATAATGAATGTTCATCTACTTGATGGTTTTCGCTTGAGAATAGTTTTTTAGAAAATGAAGATTATATTTATTAATTAGCTAATAAATTGTTTTCTATAACATTACATGCAGCCAGTTATAAAAGAATCTGGTTAACATTAGGATAGTATTATGGTAAATATCATACATAACTCTCTTTAGAAAAAATTAAAAATATGCAAAAACTTTCTACTTTTTATCTTGCAAACTCAAAAAATGAGTTACCTTATTTTTCTATTAATAAAACTATTGAAAATTTATATGAAATATTATATAATGCAGAACTTTATAATGACGAAAATTTAAAAAAAGAATTGATTAATAAAAATACAGAAGATTTTACATTTTCAGAAGAAGAATTACTTAAAATTGAAAAGTTATTAAATATTGGTGTAACTGCTTTTACAAATAGTTTAGGCAAAATAATTAGTGATATTTTAAATTTTTTCAATATGTTAATGATCTTTATATTATCATTATGTCATATGATATTTTTACAGATTTTTTTTTGGTATTAATTTTACAGAAATAATTTGCATTATAATTTTTTTAATAGTAATAGTAATAAAAAGTTATTGAATTGAATAAATAATAAAGTTTTTTTATTATAATTTGTGAAAAATAAAAATTTAAATATTTACTATAAATCATGCATATTTTATTAATTCAGATAGTATCAGATATATCAAAAGATTTAGGATATTTCAGATTTATATCAGATTTTTGTCTTAATTACGAAATTTAGGATTATAGTTTCAGATCATTCATCAAAATCTAAAATATTTCAGAATTGAAAATAGGGTTTCACCTAAAACTTTAGTATAAACTAAGTTAAATTTTTCTGTAATATTAAGTCATCCTTTTACAGAAAGAAAAATATAAAAAAACTTTACTCTTATTAAATAAATTATAAAACTAAATTCTTAAAACAAATTCTAAAGTAACTGAAAAATATCAACATTACAAGAACTTTTAGAAAATATAAAGTTAGAAAAAGTTAATAATCAATATATTTACTATATGATACTGGAAGTCCTATTATTTTATATCAAGAAAATGATAACTGTCAGTTATGACAATATCTTGAAACAAGTATGTATAAAGATAATATAACATATGAATAAACTTATTCTTTTAAAAGAAGTCATATCACTTTTTTATATTTGAAATAAAGCAAAAGGTTTTTAGTTTAAATTAATATGAATCTGAAGATTATTTTAATAACTAACTTTTCAAATTATTTATTTATCTAAAAAAAAAATAATATAATATCTTCTTAATACAAATAACTAAATATAGTTAAATTAAATATTAAATAATAAAAGTATTATACTATTATAATATAATATTATATTATTTCTAATAATTTTTTTTTATTAAGTAAAAGATATTTTTTATAATAAAATATAATTTTTTACTTATATAAATACTTTGCAATATAAAAAAAAAAATTTAAAAAAATTTTTTTTTTATAGTTTCTTTTAAAAATACTTATATAATAAAGTTAAAGTTTAAGAAAACTATTAAAATAATAATAATAATAATATGAAATTTACTATTATCACTGATAGTGATCATCACTAATATTATAAATTTTCTTTTTTAAAAATTGTGTAAATTTGTCAAAATTCAAATTACCTTTTAAAATTATGTAATATTTAACTTTCTAAGAAAGGCATTTTAGTCAGAATTATAAATTTTAGTTAAAATTGGAAGTATAAAAAATAACATGTGATAAATATGATTTACATTTAAAAATTCTTTATTTTCAAAATATATAGTAAAATGAAACATATAAAGTATAACACAAGATAACAAATTATTTATATATAAAAATCACATGATACTAGCGATAATTGCTTAGTGAAACAAATAAATTTTTTTGAATTAAAAAAACAAAACTTCTATAAAAAAAATATCATAATTATATTTTTAACTTTAATTTAAATAATAATATATAATCAATTCTTATAAATAAGAAATTATCATAATAAAAAAATTTCCATATAAAATTAAGTGATTAACATCTAAATTATCCTATAAATAAAATTCTAAATTCTTATATAAAAACATTATAATACAAAAAAAAAATTTATGATTAATTTATAAATTAAATAAATTTTATTTTAATAAATTTTATAATTATAAAAAAATAATAACCAAACTTATAAAATCTATAATTATTTTAATATAAATAATTATTAATACCTTTTTTATATTAATCAATAATATATATAAATCATAAATTTGGATAATTTTAATATTTAAAAATTAACATTAATTTTTTTGTTAAAAATATTTTGCAAACTCTTACTATCATTAGAACTTTGTTTTGAAAATTATTATTTATTAAATGACAGTATAACCCAAAAATCAATCTTCATTTTCAAATTCTTTAGCAAGAGAGTCAACTTTTTTAAATTGCCAACTCCAAGTAGCATTATATAAGAATGGTCTTAAATCAAATCTATTATCATCTGGGCTATAAGCTTCAGCATGATATGATGGTGTTAATGTAGTCATTTTATGACGATTTGTTGAATAATAGAAAAAGAACTTTTTGACTTTTTCAGCGACCTATTATCGCAATGTTTAGAACAAAAGTTGAATAAAAAAGCTGAACATCAAATAAATAATATTTTTTACCTGAGTAGGATTTAATTCTGCTCCCCAATCATGTACAAGTTTCGAGAACATCGAAAATGGACCACATCGTTCTATTTTTCTTAATTTTCCAAACGTTGATAATTCATCATATGTCATTCCCATATCAGCCTATAATAAAATAAAGAATTAATCCAATGTAAAAAAATTGCTTTAAGTCTGAATTTACTAATACAAACCTCATCGCCTTGAACGTAATCATGAGTTATAGGTTCAAGTTCGGCTGTTGGAATCGCAGTAAGAAATCTTATTTTTTTCAAAAAAAAAAAAAAATTTGAAATAAATAATGTGCTATCCTTTCAATTCCTTGTTCGTAAAAGTCAAAATAACTTACCCATCGAGAATTGGAATATTAAATTCATCTCTTGCATAAGTAATAAATCTACATAGATCTTTCTTGCTAATCGATCCAATGGGATTGATATCGGCACTTGAGCAATCATATTTAGTTAGGTAGCCTCGAAGACTAGAAGAAAATTTTTATTAACGCCTTTAAAAACTACAACAATAATAACATAACAAGCTCTTACCATTCATCAACATTTGCGCTACCAAGAACAAGTAACGAACCATCCCGATTTCTAACCCATGGCATAAGCTGCGCAAAAAGGTATGAAAGTACCATTCTTAACCTTGACTTAAAGCAAACTTATATTAGTATATTGAGTTATGGTGCGCAATAATAAAACAAAAAATTGTATATATACTTGAATATTTTGAAGTGCCAAATTCTCGACATTTGAACCACCGTGAACTCTAAATTTTGGCACTTTGTTAGTGACTAAATTAAACAATGCTTGCATTGAAGTTACAATATCATCCATATTAAAATCAATATGATAACTATAATTGAGAAATTTTGATGTAAATTATATGAAGTTTAATAAATCATAATTAAATCGAGAACCTTCGAACCTGCCTATAGCATCTGCTAAATTCTTGGCGCGTTCTCGCGTCTCTTTGCTTGAATTCTCGGTTCCCATATAACATGTATGAAATATTCGACTAAATGATATATGTCAATTCAATAATAATAATAATAATAATAATAAATAACAAAAAAAAAACATGACACAAAAATATTTATTACTTTGCAAATTCTCGAGGATCCTTGGGAATATAATCTGAATTCTTTGTCTCTCCTGCTATTCTTCTTGCAGCATTAATAACTTTAGTATCTATGTATAAAAATATATAAAAAATATATATTTCAATAATTAAATATTCGCGCTATTTCGAATTAAACGAGCAAAAGTATAATACCTCCATTTTCCGCTGCTTCCACGATGAGACGGCACATGGAATGCACTATAGTTGCCGTAGCGCAACTATCGATTCCTCCACTAAGAGGTAAGAAATATCCACTCGTTTTTGATCTTCGAAGATAATCCCACAGCCAACAAGCTGGACCCAAGCTAATGAAACTTTGTTAGCATCTCTAATTATCAAATTTCACTTGAATATAAAATTTCTTTACGTGATTTCTTGCTCAGGTGTATGATAAAATTCTTTAGTAGGCTTAGTTGGACGAATAAGAATTTTTTTATTTATTTGCAGTTGAGATAAAGCCATAGGAACCTCAATACGTTGGTATTTCGGAGTGTTTACGGCTTGCATTCCTCGGCTGCTTATACAACGATATGAACGTACATCTTCTATATCAATGGTTGCCGTAACTACTTCCTTAAATGTTTAAATTTATAAAAAAGATAAAAATCAAAATGTTGAATAATAATTTTTGCTGTAATTTAGAACAGCAATATATATATATTACCACATCTTTTAAAGAGAATTGCGAGCCTTGAGCAACAATCTGACCATTAACCGCGATTAAAGCACAGCCATCATAATATAACCTATCTCCATCACACCCTTGTTGATTAGAGTACAGATAAACCCCGCCATTCTATAACAGATGGATTAAGATTTTATAAATATATGAAGAGACTACAAATGCGCGTAATCAAAGAATACCTTCAAGGTTGCTTCTTTAATCATTTCTACACGTCGGTAAAGTTTTCGAAGTTCATGATGACTGCCGCTGCTATTAGTTATGATTTCAACCCCATCTAAACCCATACTTATATTTGGGCTAAAATTTACAAGTGTTTTGTCAAAAGTTTAACTGAGGCAAAATAATCTTCTTTTGTCATATTTACCTATTTGGCGTAAATAATTCTTCACACATTTCTACACCGACGCATGTATCAATTGTAGAAATCACTGCGTCACCGATAGGAACTGTAGACTTTCAAAGAAAATATTATCATTTTTATTAAAAAAAAAATAAAATAAAATAATAAAATAAAAACATAATTCATAGTGACTTACTTGACCAGTAATATCTCTTATAATTCGTGGGAGATGAAATTCCTCAACGTATCGTGCAGGTGCCCAAGCAGAAAAATATCTCAACTCGCGATAATTACCATCATTTGCAAGAAACAATTTTGGGCGAATCAATAAAACTTTTCCATTAAAGATAATAACTCGACAATTATACTTGACATTTTTATGGGCGACGGGCCTTAATTAATAAAGAATGTGAGGCTAGATTTATTATAACAATATAAATCTGATATGAAACGCTATGATTGGCGCAGCAAAGCTTACATTCCAATATCAAGCAATATATTTCTGGTTTCTTCATTTTGCAATATTTTCCCCAACATTTCCCATGAATGCAAATAAGTATCTCCTAAAGAAACCATTCGATATCTGAAATTACTTTTTTATATAAGCTAAACTTTAATATATACTATGAACACATTATCGTTATTAACCTTCTAAAAAATGATCAAAGCATCCATAACCACTAAAAGGATGATACATATATTAAAAAATGGATCAATTTATTAATCGAAGAAAAAACGAATTTTTATTATACGTTATTTCAAGTTCTGGTCCAACCCGAAGTGTAGCACCTTTTTCTTTAGCAATACAAATGCTTTCTAAAATACGTTCCAAGTTGCCCTCAAAATCCAAAGCCCATTGGTTAAGAGAACAAGTTGCGACAACTATAAGATGTTCCATGATAATTGTTATTTAAAAATCAAGGTGTAGGTAGCGTCAAACAAATAAATTGGAGCCATTTATAGGGAAATCTAATTTTCATGTGTTAAAAGATAGGCACATCTTATTCCGAATGAGTAATTACATGTACATCATAAATTAATCTTAATATGATGATTAAAATTCTTTTTGTTATTATTAAATTATAAATTTTTAAAAATTAATTCTTCAAATTAATGCCGTTTTAATTGTGGATTAAAGATTTCAATTAAAGTAGGATGCTGTAAATTATTATTAAACCATTGTAAGTGTTGAGTTAGTGAAATACGTGACGCAATCTTGTTCATCCCCGTAATACAAAGTTTGTGACGTAATGCGAGAAAGGTCAACTGTTTATTCTTATGTTCGCTCCAGAAACAAATTTGAAAATAATTATGCATGATTTTTAATAGTATTGTAATTTGTAATTTAATTGTAATTGTAATAATGTATGCATAACAGTGTAAATAGAGTAATAGTATAATAGAAAAGTAATAAATAAAATAATAAAATAAATAAAAAGCATCAGTGTCAAATGATTCAAATGCAATTGTATCAAATGTATCTGCATTCGTTAGTTAAAGATCAAAAACAAATACACAAACAAATTAATTGATTTCGCTAAAATAAAAATGCACATGCTGGTTATATGCAATGTTCAATTTACAAAAGAAAAAACCCATAATCATTCAGTTCTTTAAAATACATGATGAATATTAATGAATTTGTAAGTCAGGATATTCTTCAAAAATATAAAGTAAGAGAAGAAGAAATACCTAACTAATACAAAATATGTCTTATAAGGCAATGTAAAACTTCACAACAAAAAGGCTAGAAAAACTGAAGAAGAGATAGAAAAACACTGAGTACATGATAAAGAGCAAAAATGATAATATAATCAGATAAATAATGAGATATTTATATTATTTTTAGACTTATACAAAAAATATTATCCAAAATCAAGTCACATAAAAAAATAGAGTAAGAGAGATCACTAAAAAACAAGAAGAGCATATGTCACATGTAAGCAATGAAAACATCTAAAGAGAATTTAAAATCAAAATTTATAAGAGACTAGATAAGATAATGCTACTGATACTCTTGTTAAACTACTTTTTGCTAATATCTTAGCAAAATATTCTGAAAAATTTTGAAACAAAATTAATAAAATTTAACATAATCATTATTTAATATATAATGAAAGTTTTTCATTTAAAACTCTTATTAAAAGAGAATGCTGATTATGCTATATTAAAATGACTCAACAAAAAAAGTTTTTTTCAAAGAATAATATAGATTCAGAAAAATACTTGAAGAACTCAAGATCTAATAGAAATTGTAAAAATGTTAATTTCATAAGTTTTTTCTATTATATTAGTATATAGACTTTACAAAAAATAACATAGATATTGTAAAAATATAATTAAGACATTCAAGAATTTATCACAAAACTTTCTTATAATCTATTATTATTAAATATGCTTATAATACATCATCAATCTATAAATTTATTTTCTTAAAAAGTAATAGATTTAATTTAAATTAAATTTTAATTTCAAGGATATATAAAATCAGTTTTCTATAGATTAATCACAGATTAGTTTGTAATTTCTTCAAATATGTATTTTTTTTATATATGATTTTTTTATATCTCAATAAAGATTTTATAAAAATAATATATTTTAAAAAATATATATTTTTTAAAAAGTAAATAAATATAATAAATATATAAATACATATTTTTTTACTTTGTATTACTCTTCACTACTTTATTTATTATAATATTTTATAATTTATCTATCTATTACATCACTATATATTATAATATTTTTTTACAACCAACTATTATATCAATTTGTGTCATGCTATTTTTTACAAAAAAAACTTAAATAAATATATTTTCTTGAAAAAATTATAAAAATACTAATATAATTAATAATTTTATTTCAAATATTAACCTTTTTATTTTAAACTAAATAAATAATGCTAAAATTTTAAATTTATTTAATTTAAAAAAAAATTAAATTTAATAATAAATTGGTAAGAATTTTAAATTATTAATGTTTTATTTTAAAGTTAGAATTCTTGTATATAAGAAGTTTGCTAGAAAAATCTGATTCTAAAAATTTTTTAATAAAATTTTGATTTTTATTACATTTTAATTATTAATGTTATTAGATTAAATATAATAAAATCATAATTTTAGTTAAAAAAATCTCAGAGTCTAATTTTTCTAACAAACTTTTTATATAAATAATTATTATCTATGATATTAATTAGCAATATTTTTTGATTATATATTTAATTAATAAAAATAATAAAAGATTTAAGTTAAAATTAATAAATATTAAATAATAATATATTCTTTAATAAAGATAAATAAATAAAA